GATTCATTAAGTTTGAGCAAATATTCTCAAAACTAGGTTGCAATTTCATAAAAAATTTATCTCGCTTGCTCTTCTTATGAACTTTTTGAGTTATAGTTAGAGATGCATCAGGTATGTTAGTATAAGCGATATCAGTAAATTCAGTCCATAAATTCTAAAATTCGAAAAAATAATCTTGAATACAAAGACTTCTCTGAGAGTAATTAACAATGTTATTCTCTAACTGAAAACGTCTTGTATTGTTGTTTTGATTGTACACTTTTTTGAGACAATCTCATGTGGCTTTTGTATTTTTTTATGGCTTTAAATTAAGTACAATAAGAAGATTAGTTGACTTTAAAATCCAAGTCATCACCCTAGCATTTTTTACATTCTACTAAAGTAACTTTTTAGGATTTGTAGGAGCTGGATCACTTCCATCTATATGACTCCATAATTCTTTTCTTATCACAAATAGTTGAAATTGAAATTCCCATGTATAATAATTTTTTTCCGCTGAATCGAACATTGAAAGACTCAAACGTAATCTTTTTGGAAGTCATCTTCTTGAAACAGCAAAAGAGAACTAAAAAAATAACGAAAATTTCAAGACAACGATCACAAAGATCTGAATTATCAAAGCACTTAAAAGAAAAACACAATTGAAACTGTCAAAACACTTAGAAAAAAGAAAACACAGATTCAGGCTCTGATACCATATAACGCTTTTTAGCTGAATGATTTTGCCCTTCATTGACTTTCCATTAAATAGGAATAATTCTCATTTACATCCCTAAAAATCTGGTATTTCTATATGAAATAATGTCCTAAGAAGAGAAAATAATTTACACCATAATTATATAATATTTGGACCATAATTAGAGAAATATTTTCAATTGTTACATTTCTAAAATTTATATGGAAAGTATTAATTCTCTAATGAACTGTCCACCTTGCTAATATAATTGTCTTCTTCTCTAGGTAAATGCACACTAATAAAATAATGAAAATGGTTGAGCTATTGAACATGGTTGTGGTGCCCATGTTGAAGGGCAATGTACAGGACATTGCTACTTTCAGCCCTGAAGGCTGTATCTAAACTAAATGGAGCCTAAATGGTAAATTGATATCCCAGATATGTAGTAGGACTTCAAATATCAATAGGATGATGAGTTTTCGAGGGAAGTTTGTATGTCCTTCAGAAACAGATCATGATTTGCGTTCTTATCATTGTATAAAATGAAAATAACCAACTTTGCTCTTAAGCAGCCTCAAGTTTTGCAATGAAATTCTCTTAAAACTTTCCTTTTTTCGTAGTGGTGGGAACATGTTAGTTTAGGGAAGTCTGTCTATTGGTGGAAAAAATTTTGATACCTGTGTATTCTGATTTTAGATTTCAACAAATAAATACCATGGGCAGAAGAATAATTATAAACTATTTGCCGGACAAGGTACAGTTTTTCTTCAATTACATGATTTACTGGGTATGATAATAATTAATGCCTTCTCATTTCCTACTTGTAGTTTCCTTCTTGATGCAAAGTTTAGTTGTCTACTTTGTAAGACAAGCAGGTTCTTTCATTTTGACACATTTCATTATAAGGCTTATCAAGATTGTACTAGGATTTTCTTTTGCAGTAGAATAGTTACAAAAATCAAATGTAGATCAGTAATGTGTTGCACTGTAAGATAGAATGGTACCTGTTTTTAAGGTTATTAAGATTGTAATAGGATTTTCTTTTATGGTAGAATAATAACAACATTTGAATATAGGTCAGTCAACATCAACGTGGCATGAGTAGGCGCTGTCTCCAATTTGAAGAAGCGCGACCAAAACCAGTGCTGACTAGAAGCAGTTCTCTAAGTCTTGAAAATAATTTGGACTTTTCAAGATCACCAAGTATTTGTCTAGAAGCTAAGACTTCGGATTATTATCTTGCCGATTCCAATGTGGCTTCTAGTAATAGGCAAGGGGTGAACGTGCCTCAACCCACAGCTAGTATGTCTCGTCCTCATAATACTGGAAAGTCCTCTATACTTGTTTCTAAGCCATTAGGTATCGGCTTGCATCTAAATAGCATTGTCAATGCTGTACCAATGTGTCGTGCCACAACAGACATAAAACTACCAGACGGTTATGTGAGTGTACAAGAGATGAAAGCAGCGTCTACTCATTGTGACGGACTAGAGGCCATCAATAGTAGTGCAAACTTACCAAATTTGGTAAGGAAAGAGGATAAAGCACTTGAGACTAAGGCCTCACTAGCTGCTTGTTCTGCCATTCCTGAATCACTTGACACATTGGAGCAATTGAATTCAATGCAATTAACTGACCAGAATGCTACTCCCTGCAACAAGAGGATTT